AAACGTCGGGCTGAAATTAATAATCATTTTCAAATAAGTTTAACTAATATATCGCCTTTTAAACCGTTAAACTGTTTTATTTAAATGGGTACTACTCGCGTGAACTATAGATAGTATTTATTTTTCTTACTATGTTCTCTCTATAAAACACTGTATCCTGGATGTCATGATCGGCAACATTCGGAACTACACGCAGTCTATTTGTTACAAATATCTTCGGAACTTTATTTATTTATTTATTTATAAAATTACAAAAATTCCTACCTTAATAGGTTAAACCTAATACGATAGAGAAAAAGAAATAAAATACATTAAAATATTAATAATTACATATTATATATGAAGCTACTTTTCACCCAGGGAGCAGGAATGTATTAGTTTATAAGACATGTTAAAAAAAGCCGGACTGAGTTTCTTGGGTGTTCTCAGTTATGGTCAGAATCACGATGAACAAACAAAAAAAAATCGAATCTAAATACTTTGTAATAAACATGTCTATCATAGAGTTTTCTTATCACATTTAGTTTCATACTAATTGTCCGATCCGTTGATCCATCCCGAGTTTATTTTGGGTTCGTGTTTACAAGGTTTTAATCCTATACTAATCTTTTAAGTGGGGCTTGCGTGTCCTTCCTTCCTTTTAATTGAGCTAATGTAAATAAGTTAATTAAATTATTTCTTAATTCAATCTTAATTGGCTTAGGTTTGTACTAAGTAGGTTTGGTTAGATATTGCCTAACATTGCACTAGGAGCTAACAAGAGATCTTGGGTCCGAATCCCGAGGCAACCGCAAATTATTTCATAGGGCAGTGCACAAATTTATCAATCAATTAAATGTAAAAATATTGACTACTAGATTTTATAAAAAAAAAACTTAAAACCAATTTCTAGTTAACTCATTGTACGTGCACAATATATGTCCGTTACATAACTATCTTCTATGAGAACGTAGTGCTTGTTTGAGACAATTTGAAAAAGTATATAACAAACTCTCAAATCGTCGATATTATCGTAATCTTTTAAATCGCTACTCGAAGTATTCCGACAGCCTGTCAGATAATGTACTGTGTTTTGTTAGTGACATCATTCGATTTATAGCAATCAGAATATTTCCAATTTTTTTTTATATTACCATATACAGTTTTTAGTTAATACCTTACAAAGGGGGGGAGGGGGGGGGTTTCACTACACTTTCTCTCATTTCAAAAACACATAAAAACCGTAGAATTCTATACATTTTTTGTATAGAATTTTACAGCTTAAATTTTATATTCTTTATCAATATGTTTTAAGTTACGGTTTAAGTTTGAGTTATAGTTAGAGACGTAAAGAATAGAAATAAATTATTATCTGTCTAACTGTCTTTTGCGTTTTAAAATTAGAGAATACTAATACAAATAGAAACGGAGTGCGGTAATGAGGCGTTAATTTCGATTTGACCTATTGCATACCAATGGATTTTTGCCTTCTGCCTCACCTTGTCAACGACAATAACAATTATTAATATGTAATTATGTGTCTACGAACGAATATGTTTTACGTGATTATGATTGGTTTTGAACCCAAAACTGTCAAATGAAGCTCTCTCCGTGATTACGTCTTAGTTGAAATTCATCAAAGGGTTAAACCATTTCTGTTACTGAGTGCTTAACTCGTTGCATTGATTGAAACATTGAACATTTTGATCTTGCGTAGAAACATCGAGGTAGAAACATTTCTATAATAATAATCTTATTATTATCTATATAGGGAGATTATAATTAGATTATTGTAACAAGAATGTATTAAATAATATTAATAAAGTCGCAATAGTCCCCATAATGATATACAACATAGATGTTTTACCCAAACCGCTACAGACAACTTTAAAAACACTTAATGTACAACCTCAAATATACATTCACAATATTATGTAAAAAGCTGCTCAATGTATGTCGCATTGTAAGAAAATTGTAACCATCTCGTAACAGAACAAAAAAATACCTTTTTGTTAAACCAAAAGTCAACAACAAGACTCTGTCTTCTCTATAGGGAGAACAGAAACAGAAAAAAAATAATATTGACCAAACAAATAAATTGCCAGTATAATTTTGCTAAATTACTATGGTGAGTGTGTACGAGAAACAAATTAACAATAAAGGTGTCAAAGTAAAAACGGATGGGAAATTGTAACATACGTTTTGCGTCTTCTTCCGTTAAAAGTATATAATTTTAATTAAAATAAAAATACTTTATTCTTTTAAAAATTTTAACAATTTTTTAGATTCATCAAAAAAAAAAAAGAAAAATGTTTGACTGTCTGTTTTGATTCTACAGAGAGTTCCAAAGACAACATGATCAAGAAGAACACCCAAGAAACTCTGTCCGTTCTTTTTCAACTTAACATATAAACTAATATATTTAATTGTGAATTTATTAACCTAAGGAGCAATTTATATCACGGCTACGCAGCGTTGTCATTAAATAAATCGTTCAAACAATATTACGCCTTATTAGACAATCTAAATTTTATTACTTTTTATTTGTGCTACTTGCGTAAACAACAAACAATACTTGTCTATTCATATTTTGGCTTATTAAAGCTCTGGTTGTGAAAACATCTTTTCCAAATACGTTCTTGATAGCACTCGATCTACGACTAAAGCTAATATATAATAAATAACGGTGCGGTCTGTAATATCTAATGATTCTGTTTATTTCCGACTTGAAGCAGACATCTTGACACTGTTTTATAAGATAATGCAATCAAAATATTTGCCACGGCTTGTTAGCCCACCTGATAATTCAGTAAAACTATGAAATATGATAAAACAGCTTAAAAACACAATTTATAATAAATTTCATTATTAATTTTTTTTTTAAATCGACCCGGCATTCAATTACGAATGATGTGTAAATTTATACACAATTTGAGGAAATATAATGAAAAATGTGCTCAAGACATGTTTCTTTCTTTTAATTAAATTGTCTTTTTTAGCCTGATTGTCTTAGTTACTGACAACTAAAATCATTTCTCGATGGAAGCCTTGTCAAGATCGGTCGGTAGCTTTTATTTATTAAAAGTTTACAGATAGAAGACAAAAATAATAAAACTCGATATTTTTTTGTCTTTATACAAGTATCAACTTTTAAAAAAATTGTAGTTTGCAGAAAAGCTATGAAGTTTGAAATGAAATGCCGTGCCGTGACCACGGCTGTTGCAAATCTGCCGTTGTTGCCGATAAAGTGTTTTATTTAAATGTGTACTACTTGCGTAAACTGCAGACAGTATTTAGTATGTATATGTATCTTTACTAATATTATAAATGCGAAAGTAAGAGTTACTTTCCCATTTATATTTTCGTCTCTCTGTCTGTCTGTTACTCTTTCACGCCAAAACTACGAACGGATTTGAATGAAATTTGGTACACATATGGTCTAGACCTTGAGAAAGAACATAGGCTTATTATTGCGAAAAGGGGGTTGTAAGGGGTAAAAAAAAGGGGGGGGGGAAGTTTGTATGAAAACTCGTGGTTTTGGAAGATAGAATATTGAAACTTTATTCTTTGGCTTTTTGAGAACAGGAGTGGCAGTGGGGGTGGGAGTGGGAGTGGGAGTTAGAGTAGGAGTGATGTGAGGTGAGAGTGTTGCGGCAAAGTAGCACTTGCAACATAGATTGGCTGCGATAAATTACATAATTTAATAAACAGCCTAAATAATTAAAAATTCTACCCCAATTCACTATTCCACGCGAACGAAGTCGCGGGCACAGCTAGTATTTTTATAAAAGAGGAGAAGAGACAAGCATGGAGCTCACTTCATGCTAGGCTTAATACCCCAGCTGAATAACATCTAAATAAGATGTGCTATCGACCTATTGGTTTTGGGTATTCGGTACTCCACAGACTGAATTCGAAACGCGTTCAAGCTTGACGATTTTTTCATCCGTGGACGGTAGTTCGTGACACGGGCGGAATTTCGATATTCCTACCACCAATTTAATATCCAGAATTCTAGATGATTTTTTTAGAAAAATGTTGGACCCGGAGGGGATCGAACCCACGACCCGATGACTATTAGTCATACATTGAAACCATTACAAAAACAAGTCCGTTGAATATATACATATTATTTTATACCCGTCTGCAATTTTTCTTAATATCTGTAATTTGAAGAACAGACTAAGTGAAATATTGCTTCACTTAGTCTGTTTTTCTCTTTTATTTATCATTCGTTCAATTGTTCTCGTTTTGCACAATTGCGAAAAGAATTATTTTTAGTCGCCCTTTTATTATTTCTGTTACGGGTTCAATAACATCGTGGTTAAGGTCAAAAACTTGAACATCACTGTTATAACCTATACTTATTTTAACTTTTTGACGTCTTATTTAATGAGTGAACAATAGGTAACATTCACCTAACTTCAAAACGTTTTAATTTAATATGCCGTAAATCTGTTAATTGTAATTAAAATACTTGTCTATAATATTCACTGAGAATGAAAATTGTTTACTCGCCTCAAACCAATGTTTTTGTTGATTCTCAAAGTGAGTCTGCTAAGAGAGTGCAAAGGACAGATACAAAACGGTGCATTCAAGGTTTTTTGTGAATCGCGAATGTTTTTAAAAGAACAGGTTCGTGAGGCCTCGTTGAAATCAAGGTTCTTTCATCAAAATAAAGTTTTTAGCGTGTTTTAAATGCCCACGCGGTAAGAGAATAAAAGGACGTTTGGTAAAAAATAAATCATAGGCTTATTCAAATTAGTAATTGCAAGAAAAAATAAGCAAATCACTTTAGCTTTATACAATTGTACACCACTCTATAAATTGTCAATTTCAGATAACAAATTATATTCTAAAAATTATCTAATTAAATAATCTAATAACGTGATTCACACCCGTAATAGGACTCATCGTGTTGTATTCCTACTAACTTATTATTACTATTATATGTAACTACTAGTAGCTTTTTATTAAAAAATATTTACTTAATTGTTTCAGGATATAATAACTTCACCAACATGTCCTCTAAGGAAAAGCAAGATGTCGAAAACTTTAAGTCTACGTAAGTATTTTTATTTTTGCAAAAAAAATAGCCTAACGACTCGTTTGATATTTAAAATATAATATAAGTTTAAGCTAATCTGAAAAACAATTGCAATAAACAACAAGCTTATATCACCAGTAAATAAAAAACAGAAAAAAAGTCCCATTTTCATTAACTTCTCAAAAGCTATTGTAAAGGTGAATGACAATTGTCCAGCGATATTATATTTCCATCAGGGCCCAAATTAATTTCGCGAGGTCCCAAATTATTTACAGATTCATAATAAACAACGGTCGTTGACTTATAAAATCAAAACAATTCAAGGAATGATTAAGTGTTACAAATAAGGCGTTCACTTTGAATTTGAGACAGTTATAATTTTAGTAACATTTTACAAATCTACTATTCCATTGAAGAAACAACGTGGTTCAAAGTTAGTTAGTAACTAGTTAAATAAAACATTTTAACGGTTTAAGACGCGATATATACTAGTTAAGCTTATTTGAAAGTTATTTTTAACTATGGCCCGGCGTTTCGGATGCTTTGCAGCAGCCGTGGTCACGGGGAGACGGGGCTGCAATAAAACATCCGAAACGTCGGGCCGAAGTTAAAAATAATTTTCTAATAAGTTTAACTAATATATATCACGTTTTAAACCGTTATAGTGTTTTATTCAAATGTGTACTACTCGCGTAAACTACAGACAGTGTTTAGTAAGTTTGCAAGTAGGTACTACTGTAGTAAAATTTTACATGAAACATTTTTTTTATGATAGCGGAGGGCAGACAATCACGTGTTTCACTTGATGAAAGGTTAAAAACTCCCCACTACGTTATCACTTACTGTCTGCTTGGACTTATTGATAACAAAAGTTATAGGTCTATGTAACTTCGAAATCCTTATATAGAGATAGAAGGGCAGGTATACATTATAAGTTTCCTTAAAAAATTTTCCCGTTTCCGCCTCAGCGAAGTAACGAGTAAGTTTGACTTTCCTTTAACTATTAATATTTAGAACACATATTCTGTTACTAACTAATTTTCATTATGCTAACAGCATCGTGGGCGCTCGTGAGAATATATCTTTATTTAACTAGTTAACGGCCTTACACTATTATTGGTGTGAGTAAAGTAAGGTTGAAGAAAATATAAATGTGTTATTTAATTATAAATAAAATCATATGCAAATCTGACGGATAAGTACATAATCATTTTTCCATTGATAAAATTAACAAATATAAATACATAAAATAAATAAGCGATGTGTATAATAGTGAAATAGAACGTCCCTGCCAAAAAATTTTTCTATTAGCTGTGTCAGCGACTTCGTCCGCGTAGAATAGTTATTTTAGGCTTCCAAATTTGATTCTCCTCTTGATCCTTAAAAATTTAAACTGCTATCCGACATCGATCTCAGACGCGACCCGTCGCTCGTGACCCGTCGTTCGGGTCCCGTCGTTCATGTAAGTTAACCTTCAAAGATAGACATATAGTGTCACGGACATTTTTTAGATCATTTAAAAAGTAATAATTCTTTCGTACAACTTTTTGGCTATGCTGTACCGTTTTCGCAGCGTACGCATCGGAAAACCACTGAGATGAAAATTTTACTCTGTTTTTTTTTTCACATATCCCGCTGTCTAACTAACACAAAAATAATTTTTCCATTCGAACCTGATTTCGAATTCCTGAGATTAGCGCGTTCAAACAAACAAACTCTTTAGCTTTATATATTAGTATTGACGAAATCTGTGTAATAGTTTAATGATTGTAACCTTGTATGTGTGATAATAAACATCTTTTTTTCTCATAATAATGACAATTCTATCATGTGGAAAATATTTAAATTCAAAATCGTATTTCCTAGTTCAGTGGCAACACTAAAAATACTTTCTTCTTTCTTTATTACAAATAATAAATTATAAACACGACTATTTCAATTTTCTCAAAGTCTAGAGCTAAGCTAAAAATAGAATGACAGAGCTCAATTTTTTATATGAATCCGTTTACAAATGAACTCCAAGCTTGTCGGACCGCCTATGTTATAAATAAATAAATAATTTCGCTACTACTCTAGTAGTCGTGAAGTTATTTCTTAAGATACCGTGAGTCTGAGATTATAAAATAAGTAAATAGTTGTCTTTACTTTAAACAATAAGCTAAGTGGTATCGAGATAAATATAAACTCTCAAAGGTCCTTTTGAGATAGTCCTGTGGATTGAAGTTAATTTGAAATGCTCTCAAAGCAATTCTAGGTAAACAAATTAGTTAAGTTTGCAACAAGGGTATCTGGTATCTAGAAGCATACCAGGAAACCGCTAAGTTGTCACCGTTCGTCTATTCTCTTTTATCTTGACTCTACGTTTTATATTTACGTATTCCCTTTTTTATATATTCCGGAATATCTTTATTTTTATTTAAGATTTTCACGGAAATTTATTTTCCGTTGATTTGTAAACTATTTGTTGGAGCCCAGTCTAAGAACTAAGTTCTAAGTTCCGTTAAATCAGAATTGTTTTAAAAGTCTATTATTTATTATTTTTTTAAAGATCTATTTATTGAAAGATAACAGTGGTCTATACCATAGAACAAATGTAAAATGTTTATCAACCCCTGAAATAACTGTCAGAATGTAAATTCTTTTTCGGGAATAATCTCTGTCTTGCTCATAATAGAATTTGTAATTAAACTTATTAAGACAGTCTGTAACGACGAATAAATTAAAAAATACAATTACATATATATCATCTTGTTTATAATGTAAAGTAGATATTATTTCAAACACAATTTGCGTAACTAATCTTGCACAACTAACAATGCGACTCAATAAGAAACGGTTCGGTTATTGTTCTCATAAATCAAATACCATTTTCAATAGAGCAACGGTATTTGAACTGTAAGAATATACAAAATGCGCTTCCAGATCATTTCTCATTATTCGCGGAAGTATTTTGAGTGAGTACTATTAAAATTAAGACTATAGATACAGGATACTAAATTTCGTGTTGTAGTCTTTTTCAAATTTATAAAACATATTACAATAATGAATACAAAATAAAAGCATTTCAGAAATAGTAACTGCATTCTCAAATGAAAAATATAAATATTATATAAATCGAACATGTTGAATGAATAATGTTTTAAAAAGTCGGTATTAATATTGTGGCTTCATATTATTGTTATGTGTGGTCTATGTGATTTAATATTGTTTTTAGATAGAGAAGGACAGATATGTATGGCGGTTAACTCAATAGACTGTAGCGGGTGAAAGATCCCACCCATTTAAAATCGTATACTTCTTATTGTAATTCACGGTTTTTTCATATATGGACAGTCGTTAGAGACCCGGATGGACTTTTAATTTTTCCACCCTTACGAGTGGAGATCGAACCCACTAACCGTAACTATACATTACTACAATTAGACCATCAAAAATATTGAAATATTTGATTGCTGTTTCAGGGCCGACTTAACAAGCAATCCAGGATTCCAGTCTTCCCTCAGCATCGACTCAAAAGATGCCTGTCATGAGAAGGCGTACAATCCCTTTGAGCATAGACAAGTGGAACATCCAACGACGTAAGTATAAAGAGTCAAAGAATTTTCTGTAGCCACACGTCATTACCGTTTTGTTTAGGTAAAAATATTTTATAACTTTTATTGCCAAGAGAGGCTGTGAAACGACGTCACAAATCTTAAAACATTATTTGCTTTAAATTTATGTTTACAAAAATGATTACATAAATTGCAGAAATAATGGTAATGTTTGCAATAATCCGCGTTTGATTCCCCCCTGGGAAATTAACTTACATGGTCAAAGAATAATTACGCAAATAAATCGTCACCAACCTAGTTAATAGCTACGAGTACAATACTAGTACAAGTAATAGCTCAATATATCAATTATTAGAAGATATTGCCCGCAAACTAGACACTAATAGGTCCTACAATTAAGTGCTTCACTTAATGAATAGTTAATAAGCTATAATTTTATCTTCAGAGGCTAAAATATTTACGTAAGACGCAAGGCATGGTGCAAAAATATTTTTGATTCAATCCGTTTAGTTACACGCAAAATCAAAATATGGAGAGGAACAATTTTAAATGCAAGAAGAAGTTAAACCTGAGACCTGCTTCGACATGCTAACGATTTACTGGCTTGACATCGCGTTTTATCATAGATGCATAGAAACGATTGTATACATTTGAAGGTCCAAATGTTACTGTCAAATGAAGTCCTGTATAATTTTCTTATCCTTTTAACGAAAGTCCTCGTTCTTTTGACAAGTGTCACCAACTTGATGTAGTCAACACTTTTCTTAAGGCTATTTCATATTATCAAAACCAGGTTCTAAAGAAAACTTATGTTTAAGAAATTTGTGATGTTTTTTCATTCAGAACTTTCGGCGCCATAGCACATATTCTGAAAGCATGTATTGGTACCGGGGTGTTGGCTATGCCTGCTGCTTTCAAGAACTCTGGTCTGATCGCCGGCGTTATAGGAACATTATTTGCTGGTTTAGTTTGTACACACACAGTTCAGTTAGTGGTATGTATTAGTATTTTTTTTTAACTAGTTACATTATATCTTTTACTCCAAGAGTCATGGGGTATCACAACAAAATATTTATGTGTGTTAATTTTTTGTCTTGCCGAAGCCAATATATGTCAATTAATTATATGACTGGGGTATCTTTTCATAAAGTAAACCATGTCTTCTTCTATCATAAAAAATATTGTTGTACAATATTTTTTTTTGGTGTAAACAAAATATTTTGAAGAATATATATATAAATAGAAAGTGTAGATGAACTTGACATTAAAACAAAATTAAAAAAAAACTTACAGTTTAAAGTTTTGCTTTTAGATCCAGAAATATAAAAAAATTAAAAGCGAGCCTTGATTATAAATTATAACTTAAATAACGAAGGTTAAGGTGGTCCCTTTTAGTCATCGTGTAATGTTTCCCAATCCAGGTAAGCATATCACAAAAGGTCTGCGTCGAAGCGAAAAAGCCTTCAATGAGTTTCGCTGAAACTTGTGGCGCGGCGTTCGAGTTCGGCCCGAAGAGGGTTCGAACCTGGCACGGCTTCGTCAAGTAAGTAGAACTTTACGCCTGCTGCTTTTCAAAAGCAAAGTTACTCTCGACTGCCGTTTGCTTGCAAATAATTTTCAGGCGCAAAGATTTAACAAAGTTTTCTATTGCTTATAATTAATGTTATTATTTGTCGCAATTCACGTTGAGTTTGAATGGTAAAGTTCTAGATTTACACTTAATTGAATAATGTGACTTTATGAATGTGTAATTTTAATTTGTTTTCAGGACGTTGATTGATTATTCTATAGCTGTGACGTATCTAAGCGTGTTATGCGTTTATGTAGTCTTCATGGGTTCATCTTTTAAAGAGGTAAATGATTTTTTTTTTATTTACTCATCTGTTGATAATCCTTACAGCGATAAATTATCTAGTGCCTCTCCATTACTTAAATATCCTCCTTTATTATTTAAAATAAACCTACAACATTACATAAATATATAATAAATATATTTTTGTAAATTAATTTTATTCATTAGCTTAAATAAAACACGTATATCGGTTTAAAATGCGAAATATATAGAATTTTTAATTATTTAGGCTGTTTATTACTCTATGGCAGCCGATCTATGTTCTAAGTGCTTTACCACAACTCTCACTCTCACTACCATTCCCACTTCCATACCCGCCCCCATTCCCACACCCGATCCCACTCCTATTCCCAAAAAGCCAAAGAAAAAAGTTTTATTGTTCTAGCTTTAAAAATCCAGAAATTTCCATACAAACTTTCATTCCCATTTTCAACCCCTATCAACCCTTTTTTGGCATTAAAAATGCCTATGTCCTTTCAGACTCTAAAATATCTGTGTACCAAATTTCATTTCAGTTCAGTAGTTTCGGAGTTAAAGCCGGACAGACAGACAGACAGACACAGTTATTTTCGCATTTTTAATACATATGAATAATAAAATTTTATACATTATATTCCGTTACTACGCCTAATGCAAAGCATCTGAAACTTGGGGGTGTAATTAAATCTAATTTAGATTCAGTATTATGTGTTAAAATTATTTTACGAAAGCTTTGGTTTCGTGGGGGTAAAGCAGATGACATTTTCCAAGGTTCATAATATAGCAAAGTACCATATGAATCTTTACATCAGTTTCTAGGGCCGAATAAGCTTTATTTGCTTCATAAATACAAGCTTGAAATAACTTATTTTGAATCAAAAAAACAGCTTTACTTTTGTTAAAACCTATCTTGTACTTGATATAGTCTGCTCATGTTTTGTAAACAAACCAGATACAACTATTGCTACTATTATTAGCAAAATAATTATTCTAAGACCTTTGAAAACGTGCTGAAGACCCATCATGTAAGGATTAAGTTGTAAATGATGGATTAAGCAAGTAATTACACTAAGAAATGATGTCGCTATAAATAAGTTACGTCGATCGCGTCCCGTCGCTCTTGCAAGTTAATTTTAAAATATAGACATATAGTGTCTTGGACATTATTTTACATCATTTAAAGAGGAATCAATCTTTTTGGGTATCTTGAACAGTTTTCGCAGCGTATGCAACGGAAAGCTATAACAGTGCTAAGAGTAGCATTCTAAAAGTGGACTTGCCTTCATTTCAGGTCATAGACTTCTACTACCCAGAGTACATCTTCTCCATCCAGGCTTATTGCATCGCCACTTTGGTACCATTAGCTTTGATCTGCCAAATTCGTAATTTGAAGTACTTGGTACCCTTTTCCACTTTAGCCAATATCCTCTTATTAGTTGTCTTTGGAATCACGATGTACTATGTTTTTATCGATCTTCCTCCAATAACTGATAGAGAAATGGTCGCTAGTATCACGACGTGGCCCCTCTTCATGAGGTGAGTAGTTTTCAGTATATTATCTATATAATGTTGTGTGCTTATTGTATAATTTGTTTTGTTTTTATTTTTATACTGTTTTTATTGTTTGAAACACTTATTCTAAATCTAATTGTGGAAACTTGTAATTGGCTTTCTATTTTTTCTATTATCTACTCTTTTTCTCTCTAGTTTTCCATGAAAATAGATAAAATTGTATATATATATATATATATATATATATAGATATATATTTAAATCTTAATCTTATTTAATTAATTCATCTCCCTTATTTGTCCCGTTCTTTTAAATAGCGCACTTTTAGATTTTTTTTCAAGTATTTCTATAGTTTTTAACAAACTAATATGAATGGATTTATGGCTTTAATTATGAAATCTTCCACCGGACAATAAAAAGATATTTATTCCTTTCAGTACCGTAATATTCGCGATGGAGGGTATAGGTGTCGTGATGCCGGTGGAAAATGAAATGAAGAACCCACAACGATTCCTCGGCTGTCCAGGAGTATGGAACACCTCTATGGTGATTGTCATCAGTCTGTTCGGAGTTGTTGGTTTCTTTGGCTACGTACAGTTCGGAGATGCAGCTAAGGGCAGTGTTACGTTGAATTTGCCTGAAGATCACATGTAAGTCTCTACAGTTATCAAGCTATTTGTAACAAAATTCCCTCTTTTCTTTGTTATTGAAACATCCCCACAATTCTATACAAAGAACAGGACACAAAACAATTAGTAGGATCAACGTAATATGTAATAAACTAAATGTATGTTGAAGGCCAGTCGATTTTAAAAGCTAGAGTAGGTCAAAACGGGAAACCAATTAACGATTTTTTTACCAAACACAGGCTAGCCATGTTTTCGTTCGTCAATTCATCATTTTGGTGATCAGACTTTATGAAGAAATTTTCTTTCAGTAGAAATTTAACGAATGTTTGTCAAATATTTAAATAATTCAACAGGGTCGCGCAAGCGACAAAGGTTCTGATGGCGATAGTGATTTTCTTCTCTTTCGCGCTGCAATTCTACGTGCCGATGGAGTTCATAGGAAGATTATTGAAGCAAAGAAAGTCAGACAGCTACAATAACATTATCCAAATCAGTATTAGGACCGTCCTCGTCGCTATTGTTGGTAAGATAAACATGATTCAGTAAAATATATGGCTTTTATGTGATAAAATGTATGTCACGTCCTACATTGATTACATGATTTATTGTAAATCACATTAAAATGTTTTATCTAAATGTGTCTTACAAATTTAAATAAAACCATTTTAATTGGTTTACTTCCTTGTTATACTTTTCTACAATAAATAATTACTTTATAACGACGTAAGCAGATTCTAAGATTACGTTATATTTTCAGTTGCCATCGCCGCTGCATTCCCCAATCTGGAATTAGTGATCAGCTTCGTCGGCGCCATTTTCTTCTCTACCCTCGGTCTTTTCATTCCTGCCATGATCGATATCGTATATAACTGGGATCGTGGCTTTGGCTGTCTCAAATATCGCCTCTTTAAGGATATCCTTATTTGCATTGTCTCCGTTGTTGCACTTGTATCTGGAGCTTATGTTTCTGTCGTTGGAATGATAGAGGACTTCTCTAAGTCTGGTGATAGCAGCCATGTCGCTAATGAGACGTTTGTTTAGAGCTCTTTAGATCTTTTTACTTATATTATGAAGTTATGAAGGTCGAATTGAAGCGAAGGAAAGCGCCCTTTTTAGGTTCTTTGGGCATATGAGCATTTTACTTAGGGCTCTTCTTCTTTGTTTTGTGACAAGAAATCTAAGTAATTTTGTGATTTGGTATAGCTGAGTTGGTCAAGATATAATTAATACAAAACTGAACCAGTTGTACAAATACAACAAAAACTATGTCAAACACGCTCCCCAAAGGGCTGATTAAAATGTATGTATGTAATCTTATAACTAAAACAGAGTCTAATAGTTACCAATTTCTTTAAACAAAGTACAAATAGGATTAATGAGTACAAAAGTTATTAGGCTTAGGTTATACGAGTACACATATTTCTGATAGATTGTATAGAAATAATATTTGCCTAGTCAAAGTTTCCTGAATTCTGTAGATTGGTGTATAAATATGTAGCATAACAACTCTTGGTAATATACTGTGACCATAGATTACTGAACACAATTCTTTTAGGATATAAACACATTTTAAGTACAACTACGAAATATTAATAAATACTTTTAATGAAGTATCTTATCCTGAACTGAGTTAAATTAATCATAACTTTCTGGTTACTAAGTGTAATTCTGGTTTATTCTATATTCTGTATTTGCGGTGTAGTTGAATATTCATGTGCTTATAATTTAGATTCCAGGAATTGAATATCGCCTGCAACCATTTGCAGCGATGGGTATTATTCATTCTAAAGGAATCAAACTTTTATGAATTGATTTTTATTATTTTTCATTATTTAATATTAAAATATAATTACCTTGCCATTAACAAATAGCATACGAATACACCATTTATTTAATAAGTTTCAGCCTTACTTAATTTACTTATACTTCCTTAATACGTACTTTTGAAAATATAAACGACGTATTAACTTTTTACATACTTTTTCAATGTTGAAATGCAAGACTTGACTATTTTAAAATGAATTTTGTAAAAATATTACGAATTTTTTCATTATTATTATATTCAGTGATTTAAACCAAGATTTAACATAGATATATCTTATTCACTTGTAATTACTCGTTACTATAAAAATGTGTTGAACTATAAAACCGAATTTTATTTATGTTGGTCTTATTTGGCATCCTTTTTAAAAAAATTGATAGATTATTATCAATACTATTATATAAAGCTGAAGAATTTGTTTGTTTAAAGGCGGTAATCTCAGGACCTACAGGTTCGAATTGTAAAAATATTTTTATGTTGGTGAGAGCATTAGTAGAGGAAGGGTACGGCTAAAATATCGCGCGGAGACTAATAGAAGCGAATAGCAGCATGTGGAAATAACGGGAAAAACTATTTATATTTATGGCTTTTCGTTGCGTACGCTGCGAAAATGGTTTAAGATACTCGTACCCAAACAAATATGTATGAAAGAATAATTCCTCTTTAAATGATGTAAAAAATATCCGCGATAGTAAATGTCTACCGTTGAAGATGAACTCGCAAGAACGACGGGGCGTGGCCGACGTCGTGGGCAACGGGTTAAGCTCATAAGACAAAGAGGAGGTTTGTAAAATAAATCTCGATGACAAAAATAACTATTCTTCGCATTAAAGTCGCAGACACAGCTAGTTTTGATATAAAACAGATTTGACCGCCTCGAAACAGCCCAAAAGAACCTTATAACGCTTATATCTCAATCTGGATTATGTTAATGCCGACCAATGTTAGTGAAAGTTGTTCCACTAAACCCTCCCTTGACTCGCTAGCTCACTTCCGAGTTGGCAATTATAAACTCATATAATTATAATCTTACATCTCCGCTACGCTTCCTTTAGCATACCGGTAGAAAATACTGAGTTACATTTTTGTTACGCAACCGAGAGATCAATTAAATCATGGTTTGCTGCAAAAAAATGATATTCGGAAGTTTTCTTGCTAGACGTAATCGTTGTTGACATAGCTCGTTCCCAGTTGAATTTTGCTGGCCAGTGTTGTATCATAACACTGGTCCTTAAAAAATAACGTCCTTCTTTCGATTATATTTCTACTAAGATTAACTCGGAAGAACCGCTTTTGAGTTAATCAAATTTGATCGATTATAATGTTTTTTTTACCAATTGTTTGTTATAGTTTTATCAACACATTAGTTATTAATTATAACCTATCGAACAGCAAAGTGCAAAAAAGTTATGCAAACAGTAAAGTGTTAAAATATACTTACATTTTCATCGACATATAACCCAATATACTACGTATTAGTAGCATAATAGCGTAGGTACCTTATGACAATTCAAAATCGAAGATAATCTTATTATTTTCAATCTACTGTATATTATGTTATATTATTATTAAATTACATTACATACTTGTTACATGTTTTTGTCAGATAAAAAGCTATGTTAACTTAAGTAACTTAATTTTAACTATGTTTTATACATCAATAAATCTTACTAAGATTTAAATAATATAATTAAATTAGTAATAAATGATTTAAATAAGCGTAAAATGAAAGAATTAAAGATAAAAGAGTACAAAATGACACGGTAAGAAAAAAGAAAAAAATATATATAATCGCCATATCGTGTCTTGTTGATAAATCAGAAGCCTGTGAAAAATACTCGCAAACTGCCAAAAAGCCTATAACCTTTTTATTAAACGCTAAACTTTCTTCCATTAATAACGCGTTACACGCAGTGACGTCTCGTAAATTACACAACCTAGCCACCTGACACAAAACGTGATGTCTACGGTTACCTTACATTCTCCTATCACTCGCTTACGTACGATCAGACGTAGAGTTTTCCTCAGTTTATCTTGTAACGTAAATGGGTTTTGGAAAATTTGTGTCTACATTTAACAGGTCTTCTAAAATTAAACGGTAGCCTAATTAAAATGTTCTCTATCATTTAAAGCACAAACAAATTATCTAAAGACAAGATTGGATCTGCAATGCAGCAGCTATCAATTCAGACAAATTTTTCAAAACCTAACTTTAAAAAAAAATTCTCGCAAAAACGAATTGTTAGTTTTAAAATTGTACATTTTTATTTTTTCTAAGTATTAGTAAGCTCTTGAAAAGCTATATCCAAGAAGAAGATTTTTTGCATTATCTAGGCCTAATAAGAATAAAAGCTTCAGATTCTCGAAATCCGGATATAAATCGCATCTCAATTCAACTAATAGTAAAGACGTGTGCAGATGTAAAGTAACATTCTTTATGAAAACAGTAACATTTTTTATGAGAAATTTACATAATGGGATTACAGGATGTATTTATCGTAAATTTCTCTAATATTACACGTTACCCTATTCCGCAAAATTTAAAGAAATTTACTTTTAAATAAAATACTTTAACGATTTTAAACGCGATATAAGTTAAACTTTTTTAAAAACTATTTTAACTACGGTTCGACGTTTTGCATGCCTTGCAGCGACCGGGGTCGAACTTTTTTTTGATTAAAAAAAATACCTCTACCGAAATATTTAGAATCGCAATAAGAAAGATATTACACGAGCGTTATGTGTGTGGTTTTATGTTGTTCTACGCTATAAATAACACAACAATACATAACTTAAACCTTTCAAATCTTCACTTCTTATGTGGTTGCGTTTTTACTAATTCGAGATTAGATTAACGCCATATGGAATTATATTTTCAAGTTCTTGCAATGAAAAGAAGTTAAATTCATGAGTCTTTCTTTGTATATAGATCACTGAGTTTTTAAATAAAACACTTTCAACGGTTTAAAACGCAGAAAATATGAGGTATTTTTGGCTATAGCAGATTCCTGATAATTTAACTAGTACATGGCAAATTTCATTGAAATATTTAGTATTCCCGTGTAGAGTACTAGATTATTGCATATGTTCACTAATATTAAACGAACGTTTTGACTGGCTAGACCAAGTGTACCCCGAGAGGGCCATGGGTCTCGACTGCACTGGACCACAGCAACGTTGGTGGAAAATAGAGGAGCTGCACGGATGCAATTCAAGGCATGACAGGATGATGATAACATGTTAAAAGTATGAAAACTTTATTAATTTTTACATGTTATTGCACATGAAAGCACTATATAATTTAAAAATAGTAAATACATTGAAAAAAAAATCGAGTCGGGCAGGACTTGAACCGGCATCGTCAGCGTGACTCGGTCGCATCAATTTATTTTCGATTTTTTAAATGTTAAAAGTAGCTTTACATATAATATGTAATTATTAATAGTTTAATGTATTTGTATATTTTTATTAGGATTTAGTTGTTAAAGTAGAAGGTTTTGTTAATAAATAAACAAGTGTGTACCTACTTCGATTATAATAGCTCAAAAGATATGCAAAACAATGGCATGCCGGATTAGTCATATAGGGGATTGAAAGTAATTGGGTTCTAAGATGGTCTATAGGCTTTATCTTACCTTTATTTTAATTCATAGAAGGGAAAAATACCTGGAAAAGGTTTTTGAAATTGTACTATGAAAAATTATAGTGAAAATTTTTAGGACAAAGCTGGGTATGCAAGGGTCTATTTAATTGTTTTTAATGTATGTCAATATACTACATCTGTACTACAAACATTTGCAATCGTTAAATTAACAATCGATTATAAATAAAAAAAAATACAATAAACACATACAATATGTTTGATTTATACATGTGCGATAATATCTAAAAAAACATTAAAGTTTTAAAACATTTGCAATAATTGTTTAAAATTGTTATTCTATGATCTAAAAATCGAACCTAAAGCCTAAAGTGTATAATAGCACAAGTTACCCACGTACACGCCGTCTCTCGTTTTAATAAAATTATAGGTCTGTCAAAAGGACGGACGATTGAGGTTACATGTGAAAGCTGAAACAAAGCGAATTAAGATTTCTCGAAAACAATTTAGCTTGGAAAGCTATTGATATTTGCTGTTTCGTCGGATAATTGTTAGCGCGAATCTACGCACATTTTATGAACGATAGTATAAAACTAACGAATTCGTTTCTAAAAGCTT